TCCAGATTTACCTACATCAACGTAAATGACGGTATCATGTCCAGTCTTGCATCGGTGACTTGTATAGTGACTCAAAATACGACAGTGCGCTGCTGTTAAACATGAACAGATTCCCATTAACCTTTTTTGTTCCTAACTTTAACTACTTTACACATACTGTTTTGGTTCTACAACTAAAGCGGGACATACCAAGCATAGAGAACTTTCATTAATTACTAAATAATATCTTCTCTCGAAAACTTCAGATCGTTAGACGGTCAGATGGAAAGGCCAAAATGAAATACAAAAAGTGGTCCACATCTCCAATTTGGCTCCCGGAGGACTCAGAGGGCATCGACCTCCTAAAAAGTCTCCCAAGAGGAGCCCCAAAGGTATGAAGGCTTAATATCATGAAGCACCGCTACATAACATTTACTAAGAACAGCACAATGTCCAAACCGTGGCAAATGGATTCACCTTTTTCGTGTCTGACTTATTGTTCATTGTAGGTATAATTAGGCCCACAGTCGTATTGAGTTATTGTGAAATGAAGAACAAAGAAAATACTGAAAGCATTGTCATCGTGCCTCCTGAATTATGTTCTTTCCCCCTTTTTCTTGATAACAGCTTCTTGAAAGAAACAGCGAGATTAAACTTAGAAAATATCAAGAACGATCTACCGAAGTTTAGGCTCCACTTCGACTAAGACACGAGAGTATGGTGGAAAAACTTCCTGAAACGCAAAGGAATGACCGGAAAAGTAAATCCAAAATGGATTTTACCACTTTTGGAAAAGCAGATAGAGACCACGAACAGACCATTGCAAGTCAGCGACACCACCGATGAACTCTTTCGACTAATTGAAAGAGAAGAAAGGGATGTAGAGGTAATTTTCTTTTCACTAGTTCAATTTAGCATGCTCAGTTTAGCATGACAGCCTGCAAAGTGCTAGGATGTAAAACCAAAACGTGATTGAAAAACATGATGAATATATAATCATCCATTAATTTGAGTCCATAGGCTCGATTTTCGTCGTTCTCTCGCGTCCGGTCTTTTGTTCGAGGGAGGAGCGCGCCTCGTTTCCCGAACAGCGGCTGGAAATCGAACTTTCATGCAAAGTCCACTGAATTGTCTTAAAATTTATACCGATTTTTTCATACGTACGCGGCTCTTCACTCGAAGCTTCAAATAAGAGGGGCTAGGCTTTCTCTGCAGAAATAAGATAAGTGAACTACAACCGTGGTCGCACATGCTTTAAAAACACTTCGTATGTCAACGAAGTTTGAAACAAAAAACCTTTCACCTTACACACGGGGGCATTTTCACATTCATAACAACATTGGTGTAGATTAGTAGATGAAAAAAATCTTTAATTACTTATCGATCGTCCATGAATTGTAGACATTATACGAGGCCAATAAATGAAAAAAAATGTCTTAAACGTATACTCATACACTAATTAATGTACCTTAATTTCATGTTAGGTGCGTGCTGGATGAAAGAGAAAGAAAAGCGGAAATGGTCAAGGGAAAACGGGGCCCAAAAGGACCAAAAAATGGTAATTCATACCTTGTTAGAATCTAAAAACTTTGTTTTAATGTTGCGTTAAAACCTGCGCAAAATGATCATAGCCTAGCAAGCCTTGAAATGAACTTTGAACATTTTCGTTTTTATCGTTGTGAAATTTAGAACCTGGTTCTACTTCGTGCACGTTACTGCACTGTACTTTTTACACTAGGCCATTCTTCATGCAACCTACGCCGCAACAAAATTGCGAGGCAATTTGCAAAAACAAAATGCAAGATAAAGGATTAGGTGTATTAACGTATACTGAAAAAGCAAGTTTGAATTAGAAGACAGTGCAAGTGATGAGTAGACTTGGACTGATATCGTTTTTAGTCATTTACCCACCGAAGCCTTGTCATCTTGAAGATCTCGAGCTACATTAGGTTTTTTGTTGAAGATAGCTGTGTTCAGCTGTATTTTTGATCAATAAAGTGATCACGATCATACTTTAGTATTTGACTACCAGTGCAACCTCTGGTTTGCGACACCTTGGTTGCCAGATTTCTACTAGTCTTGCCTTAGGGAGTAGTGCTATAAAACAATTACAAGTATAACTGACACTAATTATTCATAAACTCAACATTCAGACAAACTGCATTTTAATTTCATTATTTTTTTTTCTCTAAACAGAGTGTCAGACGTATCAGGAAGGAGTGCAAGTCCTCATTGTCGTAAAAAAATTCAAAAACTACCAAAAATAAAAATAAAAATAAAAACTCACAAAACAACAACAACAAAACGGCTCCTTTAGGAGCCACCATATACCAGAAAAGTCAGTGATCAACTGATGATATAAGAAGATACATTATTTCAATTACAAAGTCGCTTGCTAAACTATGACTGCGGCATGTAATCCGTTTCATCCAGCTGTTCTCCTACCAAAATGTGTGGACGGGAAAAGGCAGAGATCAATTTTCGTTCTATGCAGTAGCTGTTTTGAGGAGCAGAATTATGAGCCAGTCGGATAATTTTTCCTTATTATCACCTGGCCCTCTTTAAGTCCATAAACAACAGTGACCTAAATATATTGCACTTCCACCCGTGACACACCTATCGCTGTAGTCTTCTCTCTAATTTCTATGATGGCTACCAGTAGTCTCAATCTATCACTCCCTAAATTTCCTGTTAATAAAGTGAAATTAAAGAGATTAAACATGCAGACATGTTACTAAGTGATCAGTACGGTTAATAATCGTCCATGTACCTTGCGATCTGTGTACTCAGTATAAACTAAGTGATCAGTACGATTAATAATCGTCCATGTACCTTGCGATCTGTGTACTCAGTATAAACTAAGTGATCAGTACGATTAATAATCGTCCATGTACCTTGCGATCTGTGTACTCAGTATAAACTAAGTGATCAGTACGATTAATAATCGTGCATGCACCTAGCGAACTTTGTACTCGGTATAAACTAAGTGGTCAGTACGATTAATAATCGTACATGTACCTTGCGATCTCTGTATTCAGTATAAACTAAGTCATCAGTACGATTAATAATCGTACATGTACCTAGCACCTAATAATGAGTTAGTTTAGTTATGCAGACGTAGATATTATACTTTTAAATTATGCTGAAGGAATTTTTATCGTGTATAAATAAAATTATCAACTCAACTCAACATGGTTAATTTATTTCAATGATGGGTAACAGCATAGTTGCAACCGTGGTATTAATCTATTACTACTTGAATTTCATGTCGGTACGTATGGTGGACTTAAAAAGATTTAAACCCTAAACGAACATGGAATGCAATATAATGAAATTATCGATAAAGGAGTATAAAGGGCGCTTGGTAGAAATATGCGCTTATTAATCGATTAATCCTACATTTCTTTCGGTTTAGGCCAATGGTGGTTTTATCCCTTTCACTCGTCCAGGACGCTTGCACGTTTTAGTGGCACGTTACGCTGGACAGTCACGCCCATGTTGGCATAAAAAACAATTCTGACAGCTGTCAAACACCCATTTCTATCATTGGCTATTTCAGTGACACGAGACATTTGACAACTCTCCTCTTCTTTACCCCGACTATTTTGGGCTTTTTCCACAAGACCTTAGACTTAAGTTATTTTTCAACTGATTTGAAGTGACATTTGCTCGCGCTATCCTGATGACTGATCTAATCGCTCATTTACGTAATTACGTGACATGGATTCTGTACGCTTTTTCTGATCACACAAGACTTTCACCGTGAAGACCACGTGGAGTGGACGTCGGCACAACTTAGCTGAATCGATGCTGCTCAAAGCAACAAACAACATTTTGCCTGCACTACTCATTCGGACAGTCTTCGTGATTTAATCGGGCACGTTGTACAGCCAAGCCACCACGTTAAGATGCTGCTCAAAGCAACAAACAACTTTATAGGAGTTGCTGATTGTCATACGGGTTTACAAATTTCAAGACCCATGAAGTGCAGAACTGGAGAGAACTTCTACGTTCAGGTTAGCTTAGATTTTGCTTCTGCTGGAATATATGCCGCACAATATGCCATAAAGAACTAAAAGAGGTGAGATTAAATCTATTAAAAAGTACTGTCCTGGATGTCGCGATGGTGTACTGATACTGTACTGCCCCTATAAAAGCTGGGGAAACTTTTCTTCCCGCGAAAAAAAGGCGCCAAATGTTAGCAAGAGTCGAAGTCTCAAATGTTAACCGGTTTTCTGAGTGTTCATGGCAGCTAAACGTTCTTCACTCTCGCGAGGAGTTTCTGCAGGCTTATGGAATTTAAATTTTACAAAGAAAAGGGAAATATTGTGGAGATTTGGAGTTTATTTTTCCAACCGAGTGTTATGCCGCGAGAGCATTAACCAGCCTTTAGAGCGCATTGCCAAGTTATTTTCTATGTTGTCAGCTCAAAGTGAATATAAATTTTACGCAACTATTAAAAATTTTAAATGTAAACTTGACGATTCGGAACCGTAGATGGTAAATTTCGCGCCAAAAACTTAGCAATTCTCGGCGATAATTGAGCTTATATCCTTTTCAGGCTCTTCAAAACTAAACTAATCAAACCCACACCAATTTTACGCATCGGACTTTTTGATTTCAACGATTGAACACTATCAAATAAACTTTCTCTTGCTTGACGTTTAATCAAAACGTCCTTCGAAATTAACAGTGCCCACATCCTATCTTGTCTTGTTTTTCCTCGGAGAGGACACACATAAGCTTAAATAAAAGAACATCCAAAAATGGAACATAATTGGCACCGCTATTCATGTCATTCATCGTAAAATCCACAGCAAAAGTCAGAAGACAAGAAAATTGCGTCGTGTTCTGATTGGTCTAGTTAAAATGGAGAGTTTGAAAAAGAAACTCATTCCAAAAATATAAGCTTACTGATACAATACGTTTTTTTTTTTGGTGAACTTCATCTAAAGTTTGATTAGTCCGACCCCGAATCTTCGAGACCATTACCCGCCATTTTGACGCGTGGTTGAACTACACATTAATAAGAATGTCGTTGTTCTGCACTGCCTGCAAATCTCTTTCAAATTATAGCCTAAAACGTCACAATTTCAAATTGGTGAAATTATACAACCTTGCTCATTTGTTTAAGAAGTTCAAATAATGTCACATTAAGAACATTTTGCCATCGAAAATCTACTTCTGGCGCCTAAAAACATTTGCAGAGTGAATGGTTAATTGGAAGTTTTTGATTTCGTGGTGTTTTAACAGTGTAATCATGATCTTGGACAAGCTTCATCTTTTAGATAACCTTAATCCCCCGCTTAAGCTAGTTTAAATTTTAGTTGGTTTTTATAGCTTTTCGAAACTGTGTTTTCATGCAGTGCGGTTCACAAAACGCGGCAGTTTTGCATTTCAATATCGATCGTTGCTATGGTTGGCCATTCGTTTCAAAACTACGACAGGGTATACGCGGGTTTTTCTGCGGCGTATACTTGTTTACATACGTAACGTATGGGCTTTAAGCTCATATATACGACCATTTAGATCGCGTATATTCGCATTTTTAAAAACATTTGCGTAAATTAAAGCGCGGGGATATGCGAAATAAATGCCCAAATATACGCGTGCTAAAATGCGTGTACATGCGGATCTCGTAAATTACGTTTTATATGCTAGCACGAAATGTGCCTTTTAAGAGAATGACCGTTCATGTATGATAGCAATGAAAGTTACTTTAACTAGGAATCGTCAATATGGCGGCAGTGGTAAAATGCCTTGTCTTGGTCTATCTGCTATTTAATGTTTGTTACTGCAGCTCTGCAGTGAATGAACTTCTAGAAACAGTTATGCGTGTTTTGAATGACTGTTCAAGATTTTATCCTAACGCTAATCGTCGTGAAGTTGCTGTGGATTACTCTGTACATCGTTTAGTGGCCTGCGTAGCTTGGCGGTTTTTAGGCAATTTGAACGCTAAGAAAGCGGCGAAGCCGCGATAACGAGCGCCAAATGCGGCGTAGCCACGAGGAGCCTGGGGTTTCCTGCTCGTTTTCGCGGCTTTTCCGCTATGTGTGCTCGCGCTCAAATTGCTTAAAAAAATTGCTAAACCGCCAAGCTACGCAGGCTAATCCGTTAGTTGATTCATTGGACAGAGGTACTAAGGCGAATG